GAAAACCCCAGGGACTCAACTACAAAGCTCTTAGAAGTGATCAAGGAATACAGCAGCATCTAGGTTACAAAATCAATACCCACAAAATCAGTAGCCTTTGTATAAGCTAACAATTGTCAAGCTGAGAACAAAATCAAAGATTCTATTCCTTTTACAATAGCACTAAAGAAGATGAAATACCTGGGAATATATCTAACCCAAGAAGTGAAAGATCTTTATGAAACTCTGAGAAAGGAAATAGCAGAAGATGTCAACAAATGGAAGAACATATCATGCTCATGGCTGAGAAGAATCAACATTGTTAAAATGTCCATACTACCTAAAGCAATCTATAGATTTAATGCAAAATAAAATCATACTTCATACTCAAATAAAACACCAATGACGTACTTCAAAGATCTTGAAAAAATAGCACTTCAATTCATATGGAACCAGAAAAAAAACCATATAGCAAATACAGTTCTCAGAAATAAAAACAATTCTAGAAGCATCATGTTGCCAGACTTCAGGTTATATTACAAGGCTATGGTGATCAAAACATCATGGTACTAGCACAAAAACAGAGATACAGATCCCTGAAATAGGACAGAGAACCTAGAGATGAACCCAGCCACATATCATCATTTAATCATTGATAAGCCTTAAAAAAACATGTAATGGGGAAAAGAATCCTTTCCCCATTTAACAAATGGTGCTGGGAGAACTGGTTATCCACATGCAGACAACTGAAACTGGGCTCAGTGCCCACAGCTCAGTGGTTAGGGCACCAGCCACATGCCTTGGGGCCGGCAGGCTTAAACCCAGCCAGAGCCTGCTCAACAATAATAAGAAAAAAATAGCTGACCGTTGTGGCGGGCCCCTGTCGTCCCTGCTACTTGGGAGGCTGAGGCAAGAAAATCACTTAAGCCTAAGAGTTGAGGTTGCTGTGAGCTGTGATGCCACAGCACTCTACCCAGGGCAACATAGACTCTATCTTAAAAAAAAGAATACTGATACTGGACCCGCACCTCTCACCACTGACAAAAATTGATTCTCATTGGATAAAAAATTTAAATTTAAGACATGAAACTATTAAAATTCTAGAATAGAGTGTGGGGAAAACACTTGAAGATACTGGCCTAGGAAAAACCTTTATGAGGAAGACGCCACCTAGCAATTGTAGCAACACCAAAAATAAATACCTGGGACTTGATCAAGCTAAAAAGCTTTTGCACAGCTAAGAGTACCACAAACAGAGCAAACAGACAGCCCTCTCAATGGGAGAAGATTTTTGCATGTTATGAATCTGACAAAGGCTGATAACTCGAATCTAATAAGAAAAGTGCAAACAACCCTTTTTATAAGTGGGCAACTGATGTGAACAAAAACTTCTCTGAAGATGACAGACGAACGGCCAGCAAACACATGAAAAAATGCTCATCATCTTTAATCACCGGAGAAATGCAAATCAAAACCACGCTAAGATATCACCTAACCCCAGCAAGATTAGCGCAAAGACAAAGTCCCAAAATACCAGATGCTAGGGTGGATGTGGAGAGAAGGGAACACTTCTACCCTGCTGGTGGGATCACAAACTAATACAGCCCTTTTGGAGAGAAGTATGGAGAATCCTCAAAGATCTAAATGTAGTCCTTCCACTTAACCCTGCAATCCCATTTCTGGGTATCTACCCAGAGGAACATAAATCATTTTAATATAAAGACATTTGCACTGAAGGTTTACTGCAGCTCATTTCACAACAGCCAAGTCATGGAAGCAACCTAAGTGCCCATCAACCCACGAATGGATCAATAAACTGTGGTATATGTACACCATGGAATATTATGCAGCCATTAAAAAAGATGCACACTTTACATCTTTTACATTTTCCTGGATGGAGTTGAAATACATTCTTCTTAGTAAAGTATCGCAAGAATAGAAAGATGAATAGCCAATGTACTCCATACTAATATGGAATCAATATAAACAATTAAATGTTCCTAAGAACAATAAAACACTATTATAGTCTAGTTCAGCAATAGAGGGAAACGAGAGGCAGGAGGGGAAAGGACCTATGGCAGAGGGAGGGAGGAGGGCATGAGGTGGGATCTCACCTAAATGTGCTCATTGTGAGGGTGTATAACATACCCCCTGGGTGAGGGGCTCTTCTACAAATGGAACTTTGCTCTGGAAGTAAGAACAATGTAACCTAAATAATGTACCCTCATATTAATTTGAATAAAGTTTAAGTAAAAATAAATAAATAAAAAAGATTAAAAATCTAACTATACAAAGAGGACAAAATATTTGAATATACAAATGGCTAATAACCCCGGAAGATGTGTACATCATTAGTCATTAAGAAAATGATTTAATTTAGATAAGATTAAAATTTGGATGATAATAATTTGGATGTGGGTGTTGTAAGATACCACTTCATATTCAACAGAGTGGCCATCACCAAAAACACAGACTATAAAAAGTACTGCAAAAGATGTAGAAAAACTATAACCTTCATACATTACTGGTTAGAACATAAACTGTTTTCAAAATGATTATAAAATTTTATCAGTATCTCAAAAAAGGTAACCTGGATACTGACATGATTGAACTTTGGGTATTGATAGAAATGTTCTATAACCTCATTGTGACGATGATTACCAAAAAACAAACCAAAAAATCTTTGGGGCGGCACCTGTGGCTCAGTGGGCAGGGCACTGGCCCCATATACCGAGGGTGGCAGGTTCAAACCCAGCCCCAATCAAACTGCAACAAAAAAATAGCCAGGTGTTGTGGTGGACGCCTGTAGTCCCAGTTACTCAAGAGGCTGAGGCAAGGGAATCGCCTAAGCCCAAGAGTTGGAGGTTTCTGTGAGCTGTATGACACCACAACACTCTATCGTGGGTGACAGTGAAACTCTGTCTCTACAAAAAAAAAAAAAAATTTTTTTTGAACTGTACATTTACAGTGGGTGAATTTAACAGCATGTAAATTATATCTCTTTAAAACTGTAAAAAAATTAAGTTCGCTAGATAAGACAGGTATGACTTTATCAGTGTTTTATACATGTGTATATATATGTATATGAGATAGGGTGTCATTACTTCACCCCAGCTAGAGCACAGTGCTGTCATCATAGTTCACTGCAACCTCAAACTCCTGGGTTCAAGTGATTTTCTTACTTTAGCCTCACAAGTATTTGGGATTACAGGCACCCATCGTCGTGCCCAGCTCATTTTTTTCTGTTTTTTGATAGAAAAGATCTCACTTTGCTCAGGATGGTCTTGAACTCCTGAGCTTAAGCAATCCTCTCATCTCTGCCTCTTAGAGTGCTAGGATTACCTGAGTGAACCACTACAGCTGGCTACTAAAGAATATTATATCATTCTGACTGTATTTCTGTCAGTTTGAAATTAGATAAAGGGTCAAAAATATCACGTAACAAGCCCCTTTAATACATCCCTCTTGACTCGGCTCCCAGAGGACCGTGGTTACGGTGCTGGCCACATATAAACAGGTAAAATAAATAAATAAATAAATAAATAAACAAACAGGTAAAATGAGGCTGTCGGGTTCAAACCTAGCCTGGTCCAGCTAAACAACAATGATGACAAATGCAACAAAAAATAGCCAGGCGTTGTGGCAGGCGCCCATAGTCTCAGCTACTTGGGAGGCTGAGGCAAGAGAATCGCTTAAGCCCAGGAGTTAGAGGTTACTGTGAGCTGTGATGCCACAGTACTCTACTGAGTAATAAGACTCTGTCTCAAAAAAAAAGGTGGCACCTGTGGCTCAGTGGGTAGGGAGCTAGGGATTCAAACCTGGCCCTGGCCATATTGCAACCAAAAAAAAATAGCCAGGGGCGTTGTGGCAGGCACCTGTAGTCCCAGCTACTCAGGAGGCTGAGGCAAGAAAATTGCCTAAGCCCAGGAGTTAGAGGTTGCTGTGAGATGTGTGATGCCACGGCACTCTACCAAAAGCAATAAAGTGAGACTCTGTCTCTACAAAAAAAAAAATACAATCTTCTTCAATGAAGACCATGTACAGCTTCAGTTACTAGAAAACTATAGGTAATTTGAATAAAGTGACTTCAAGAATATAATCTGTTAGTAAAATCAATACACTGTGCTCTAGAATAATTTTTCTTAAATGAAAATTCATCAGTAAATTCTGTAACAACATATTCATATTCAACATCTGTGAAAAGTAAATACAATTCTGCATTTCTAACTCAGGGTAATTCAAAAGTTGTCCATCAAGAAGATTTGAGTTTTTGCTTTAATTTTCCTTTTGAGACCAAATGTAATTACATGGTTATTCAGAATGAAGTTTGTTTTTTTTTTTTAACAAAATACTATTGCTCTGAAATAAATTTCATTAGAAGTACTGTTACAAAAACATGAAAATGTATACTGTATTTTTAAAAGGTTAAAATCAATTAAATTCTGATTATAACTGTACATTTACAATTCTCTACTCTTAGAATTAAAATAAACTATTTATATGTACATGGTCAATCTAATTAACTTTCTACTAACGTACACAGAGATATGATTTATCAACAACCAAGTATCATCATCTGATCATCAAAGGCAAATGGTTCTATCAAGAGATAAAGATAATCCTTTAACAATTTAAATTTACAAATTAAAAAGTCTTCCTAGGCTCTAAAGGCACAATTTTTATTCACAACCACTATAGTAACCAATCACAAACCAATATCTACTTTCAACTTAGTCACTGGCTGACATTTCTCAAATGAGCTATTTTCAATCCCAATAGTTCTTTTATATATATAATCTTTATATTTCCCAGAGGTTGCTAATTTGCAATAGGTGTCACCATGAGAATAGCCAAAATTAGATAAAGGTGACAAAAGACTGACAGTATTTCACATCCTTGAATTACACCAAATCAAGAATGTGTGTGGGGGGTAAAGAGTTGCAAAAGGAAAATACTAAAGGTACTTGTATTTTTCCAATAAACCTAGCAATGCATCCACATCAAGAGAGTTTTCATCTCACCTCCAATCTCCTTCCCTGAAGAATAGTTTGAATCTTTAGCTTTAAAAGAGACCTCAAGAAAGTTTTTGCTGGCTCCTTATGCTTGTGCACACGAGTTTTCCGGATATGTTTTGCTCGTTGTTCATGTGACTTCTGAAATAAAAAAGCAGATATGTAAGAATCAGCAAATGTATGGGAAGCAAAAATAATCAATGGGAAAGAAATAAATATTTTATGGACCCTAAAATATGGGAAATCTGTTGATTTAAATTTATAAAAGCATTTAAAATCTTGGTTGTATAGATAATTTGTGTGTAATAATATATACAGCATTGTACTTTGGTCCAAATTAATGTCCAAAGTACATTACTTAAACATTAATTTTTAATTCAACATGTTAATATGTTCTTTATCATATTGCATCCTCATTTATAAGTGAAACATGTTTGTAATTTCCCCCTTATAATAATGTATTTTCTCCAATTTTAGTATCAGGTGTATCCAGATTAAGTAGAATGACTTTGAAGTATTTCTTTCTCTATTGTCTATAAGATTTGGCATGATCTGTCTTTTTGAAATTATCTGTTACTTTCATTTATAAATATTAGTTATCTATTTTTTTGAGACTTTGGAAAAAACAAAATAAGGAGTTAACTGATCAAAGTATTCTGTAATAGACATACTTCTGACAATGTGAAGGTTACTTTCTTCGCATTCTTACTATTATTGCTTAATATTTTGTTGCAGTAATCATCTGATTTCTTTTCTGACTGTATTTATCTTCATTCGTTCTTTATTAGGTTTTTGTTCTCAGTCCTTATGTTAAATATTGTTATTGTCATTAAATTTAGCCTTTATCATTCTGTAAAGGCAAAAGTGGAAACCTAATATACACATGTATAAGAAAAATTAACAAAAAAAATACATCATTATAGTAAGGAAAGGAGAATAAAGATTCTGGGAAGGCAGAAATCTCCTCAAACACTTTCTAAACCATTCCATTATACAGACTTTCCATACCCTTAACTACTCTATAAAGTAATTTCTTCTAAAAACGCTTTCCCTAAGCCCTCTCAAGTGTTACTCAGACATTCAGGGTAAAGAGGTAAGCCCTTTGTTCCCATTACCACTGTGAATACGTGAGAATATGTTAATTCTGAGGATCAAGAGGATCGCTTGAGTTTGACTTCAGACTGGTCGTGGGAATTCATAAACTCTTCTCTCACAATTTTAGTTAAGTGCGCAATAACCATATGCAAAGTGTATTAATTATGCCTTTTACTTTCAGATTGTTTGGCATCCTGGGGTTTTGCTGACTTTAGCTTTCCCCTCCCTTCCTCTCTACTTCTCAGAGGGAGAATCACTTCCCTGTGATACTACCTTTTAATATACATACTAACCAATCCAGAATCCACACCCCTCTTGCTGGACTCTCACAATCCAAGTTACTCCCCCCTGTCTTACCAGAACAACCAGAAACAGATCCTAGGCCTCAGTGCATACTGAACTTGCCAAATCCTAACCCTGCTATCCTCACCCATTCCTTCCTACCAAAACCACACAATCTATGCTCTTGTGGTGTTTTTCCTTTTTTTTTTTTTTTTTGTTGAGACAGAGACTCACTCACCCTGGGTAGAGTGCTGTGGCCTCATAGCTCACAAAACCTCAAACTCAAGCGATCCTCTTGCCTCAGCCTCCCAAGTAACTGGGACTACAGGTGTCTGCAACAACGCCTGGCTATTTTTTAGAGACAAAGTCTAGCTCTTCTTCAGGATGCTCAACTTGTGAGCTCAAGCAGTCTACCCAACTCCGCCTCCCAGAGTGGTAGGCTTACAGGGACGAGCCATCTGCACATTTTCCTTTGCCTGCTCTATATTCTGACTGACCCTGGTGCTTCTCTGTGTGGGTACCCTAGCGTGGTGTGCCCACTTCTCTTTAGATCTGTGAGTATAACAAAATTTATCTTTTCAACAGTGCTCATCCCCTGATTTGCCAACCTCACCATGCCCGAACAATAATAAAAACCTATAATTTATAACACAAGCAAGTGGTTGAACAGAGAGCCGAGCCTGGAGATCCCTCAGTGGTCCCACTGCTGCTGGTCAAGCTACCATCATACCTTGGAAGGAGTTTCAGCCCCAACCACCATCACTGCTGGGTACTATGAGGAGCGAGGGCAAGACCCAGCAGATACCCAGCAACTGCACCAGGCCCTACTCCTGTGTTCCAACCCTGGCACCACTGATAGCAGTGCAGGGAGCAGTGGTACAGGAAGGAGGAATTGCATGGGAGGCTCCTGTGGGCCACAGACAAGGTGATCATCACAACTATGATTTTAGTAACAATTTAATGGTGCAATATACCAAATGGATATGGTTTCATCAACAGGAGTAACACCAAGTAAGATGTACTTGTTCACACCGCCAATACTTTCTATAGCTTGATTCCAGTTTCTGAACAAAGGTAAACATTGTGTGGTTTGGGATAAGGAGGAAAAAAATATTTTATTTAGATTTTTCTGGATTTTATCTTATTTATTATTTTATTTTTTATATTTTATTTATCTTTATTTTATTTCCAAATGCCTGAGGCAGGAAAACAAAGCTGTCAGCTCACGGCAGTCCTGACCTTGGTCTTCAGGAGCTAATGTTGGTCTCCATCTTGGCTGAGGAGAAAGAGGACTCCCTACAGCCCCAAGAGAGAGAGGCACTGGAGTTTTCAAAATTTTAAATTATATTTTGTAGGGGGTGGGGGTCCTGTGGCTCAAAGGAGTAGGGCGCTGACCGCATATGCCTGAGGTGGCAGGTTCAAACCCAGCCCAGGCCAAAAACTGCAAAAAAAAATAATAATAATAACTTAAAAAAAAAAAGAAAGAAAATTATATTTTGTGAAAATAAACAAACAAAAAAAGGGCGGGGGGAGAAAAGGCCCCTCCTGCCCTTCCTGCAGCAATGAGGCTACCCTACCCATCACAGCCTGGTCCCCAACCACCTGCCACCCTAATTTGCAGGTTCACCTGGGTCATGCATGTCCCCCACCCCCAACACCTCCAGGTCACGGTCAGGGAGAAACACAGGCCCCCTCATGTCCCCTCTCTGCAGGCGCAACCTCACGGGGTCTGGAACAAGGGAGTGTCAAGGCGGGAAAGGAAAGGATTTCTGTACGGTCCCCAACTCCACGGTCGCCACGGAAACACGGGTCAAAGGGTTGGCCAGAGCCTTGGGACTTCCCTCGACGTTCCAAGAAGGGTTCGTCCACGTGGAAACCCTTCCAGACCCCGGACCGGGCGTCAGTTGTGGAGCAGAAAAAAGTCCCAGCTGCGGTGGGGACGCAGCCCCGTCTATCGTTCTCTGCCGGCTCTTCTGAGACGGCCGGGCTCTGGGAGGCAGAGCGGAAGGCAGAAGGGGACCGGGAGGGGCACAGGGCGCAGCTAGCAAATTTCCGCGCGCACGGGTGCCCCGGAGGCGCAGAGCTGCGACTGGGACCTTCCCGCTGGGCTTTCTTTCCTCCGGAGATCACGTCCCACCTAATCTGAGCCTGAGACCGCAAAGGATGAGCTCCGGGATCCCCAGACGACGTCGCTAGTTATTGCGGAAACGTTTCGGAGAAGCGGAGGCGGCACGAACCCCCCGCTCCCGCCGTCGGGGCCGCGCACCCGAGCGTCTCCTTGCCCCGTGGATGTGGCGAATCTTCAGCCCCGCTCCAGCCACACAAAAGACACGAGAAACTAAGAATCAGGGAGGGCCAGGAGGTGGGTGTGGGATAAAAACTCACCTACGAGGCACAATGAACATTATTCTAACGATGGGCGTATCAGAGCCCCGACTTAAGCATTTAGACCAGAGACTCGTGTAATTAAACCACTTGTACCCCCTTAATTACTATTTTGGGAAAACGAACAAAAAAGAACAGTGCAGTGCCATTCTCCTCTCCGTCCCCGAGCCGGCGATAGACAGTCAGGAGAAGCCCCAACCTGCCGCCCCTCACCCCTCGGACCCCGCGCGGCCCGCCACAGCCGCGTGGCCCCTACCCGAGTCCTCCCGCCCCCTGGTTGGCACTCACAATGGGCTTCAAGGCCTCCGGGGTCGCTAGCCAGAGCCAGCCCGCACACACCACGTGCCCTTTGCTGCCCATACTCCCAAAGGCCGGGTTTATCTCGGATGGCGACGGCGTCCTCGAGGGTACCGGGAGGCGGTTGGAAAAGCTGTTGGCCGTTGAGCAGGAAGTACTGGGAGCTCGTGGCGTCGAGCCAGGAAGTGCCCCCGTACTTGGCATCCCCCCCGGCGCCCCCAGGATCTGTGCCTTCCCGGGAACTGTGCCTACAAGGGACGGACGCCGCCCATCTGTTCCTAAGTCCCTCTGAAATGTTTCCTTCTGAAAAAATGGATTTTTCGAACTCTTTAGGGGCAGGTTTGCATAGACCTGTTTACCACAGAACACGGTCTTTCCATTTTGGAGACTGATACTGTTTTCTTTTGACATCTAGTAGAACCTCCTGGGCTGGTCTAAGACGCGTAGCTTTTGGGTCGCAACTTGCATTCTTCTAGACCAGTGATTTTTAACTGGTGTACAGTAAAAGGATCTTAGGTGTGCCGCGAAAAGTCTTAAAAATCATTAATTAAATTATTTTCGAAAGAAGTTCAAAGCACAGTAAGTATATTCTTTTTTTTTTCCTACTTTTTTTTCCTAGATACTTTTTTTTTTATACAGACTCTGGCTATGTTGCCCTAAGTAGAGTGCCGAAGCATCATAGCTGACAGCAACCTAAAACGCTTGGGCTTAAGAGATACTCAAGCGATCCTCTTGCCTCATTCTCCTGAATAGCTGAGACTACAGAAGCCCTCCACAACGCCGGCTATTTTTTTTTTTTTTATTTTGAGACGGAGTCTCACTAAGTTGCTATTGGTAGAGTGCTGTGGCATCACAGCTCACAGCAACCTCCAACTCTTAGGCTTAAGCGAATCTCTTGCCTCAGCCTCCCAAGAAGCTGGGACTACAGGACCCCGCCACAGCGCACAGATATTTTTTTAGTTGTAATTGTCATTGTTGTTTGCGAGGCCCGGGCTGAGTTCCAACTCGCCAGCTCCAGTGTATGTGGCTGGCACTTTAGCCGCTGAGCTACAGATGCCAAGCCAACGCCGGCTATTTTTTTAGAGACGGGCTCTGTCTCTTGCTCGGGCTGGGTCCAACTCCTGAGCCCAGGCAATCCACCTGCCCTGGCCTCCAGAAATGCTAGGATTACAGCCGTGAGCCACTGCGCGGTGCTTGACCAACGTATGTTAAGTGTGCCGCGGAAGTTTATAGGTTCAAGTGTGCGGCGAGGTTTTAGTGCTGCACCGTCATCCCATCTTTATTTCCTCTGAGCCAACTCTAGTTTCTAACTGGCAAGTAACAAAAATGCACAAGAGAACAGTGAATAAGAGCTTTGTATTGAAGCCAGGTGGATTTGGGTTGGAATTCTGGGTTTTCTAGTTAATAATTACATGTAAATGTCAGCTTCTAAAAAGAGGGTAGTAGCCATACCATGTTTTTATAAAGAATTAATGAGATAATGTATGTAATGTGTTCAACAATTTTTTCGGAAAATATGTGGTTAATAAACAGTTGCTATTATTGTTATTAACAACTATACAAGCTCAGCGCCTGTAACTCAAGCGGCTAAGGCGCCAGCCACATAGACAAGAGCTGGCGGGTTAGAATCCAGCCCGGGCCTGCCAAACAACAGGACAACTACAACCAAAGAACAGCCAGGCATTGTGGTGGGCGCCTGTAGTCCCAGCTGCTTGGGAAGGCTGAGGCAAGAGAATCCTTAAGCCCAAGAGTTGGAGGTTGTTGTGAGCTGGGACGTCACAGCACTCCACCAAGGGTGACAGCTTGAGACTGTCTCAAAACAAACAACAACAACAACAACAAAACCTCTACAATTAGATGCTGTTTTTTTATTTTATTTTTTTTTTTTTAGATGCTGTTTTGGTGGTGGCAAAGAATGGATATAGTACTTGAGAGGATGAGGCGGGAGGATCCCTTGAGCGCAGGAGTTCCAGGCCAGTGTGGGAAACAGGGAGACAGGTTGCATTTAGGTTGCGGTTCGCGGTGGCCCCAGACGGGTGGTACTGCGGGGGCTTCGTGCACCCGCAAGAGCCCAGGACGGGTCGGAGCGCGAGACTGACGGTAGCCGCCGGCAGTGCCTCTGCCCGGCGCGGATGAGCTGTCGAGGTCCGGATCCGCGCCGCTGCTGGTGAGCACGTCTGCCACCGTGGGGCTGTGGTCTCACTCGTCATCCTAGTCATGGTCGCTGCTGTAGCTACAGGGCGCCCCCGCCTAGAGGCTGGAAGGTGGCGGCGGCGCCTGCTGCAGCTGCACCGCAGTCTGGAAGCCGCCGGGCAGCGTGTTGGCTTAGCGGGCCAGGGAGCCCATGAACACGGGCTCAGCACGTGCTCCGACAGGGAGGTCTCACCTGGGTTCTCCTTCCCGAACGCCACAGTGCCGGCGTCCTACTCCCAGGACCCAGAGCCCGGGCCGCCGCGGTGCCCGCGGTGCTGCCAACGCCCTGGAGTCCAGACTGGAGCCCCGGAGATCTCACCCTGCGCACCGCTCCGCTTACGGCAGGTAGGTGGGCTCTGGGTCGCGAGGCCAATTGGTTTTTTTAAAATTCCTCGACTATATTTTTTAAAAAATGAGAAAGCACGGGAAAGATATTAAACTTAAAGCTAAGACCAAGATTGCTATTAGAGTGACTAGTGAAAGGTGGAACTACTTCATCACTCTCATCACAGCATTAAGGTTCTTAGCACTCATTTGGAGTCGTCCGTCACCCATCCTGAGCCTCTGACAACAGAGGATATTTTTGCCTTCTCCAGAATACTATGTGTCTTCAACTTAGAATAGTGTTTTTTGAGTCGTTCATATTGTTCCATGTATCAGTAATTTGTTCCATTTTATTGCCAAGCAGTTTGCCATTGTGTGAATGCACCACACTTTTCCTTTGCTTAACCCCATTCACCCAGTTGGTGAACTTTTGGGTTATTGAGTTATGAAAGGTGCTTTAAAAATTTGCCTCTAGGTTTGATTGTGAATACTTACTTTCATTTCCCATGTATAGCTTAAAGGACTGCTGGGTCACACGGAAAGCGTATGTAACTTGAGTAGAAGCTGCACCTTACTGGTTATTTTTACACGCTTTTTTGGTTTATTTTTAAGAGAGTCTCACTTTATCTCTCTCCGTAGAGTGCCGTAGCGTCACAGCTCACATCAACCTCCAACTCCTGGGCTGCAGTGATTCTCTTGCCTCAGCCTCCCAAGTAGCTGGGACTACATGCGCCTGCCAGAACGTGCGGCTACTTTTTTTTGTTGCCGTTTGGCCGGGAGCCGGGTTTGAACCCACCACCCTCGGTATATGGGGCCGGCACCCTACCCACTGAGCATAGGCACCGTCCTCATTTTACACTCTTACCTGCAACAAAGAAGTTTCAGGGGCTCCACATCCTTATCCGCATTTGACTTTGTCCGGTTTTGTTAGCCATTCATTGTTAGGTATGTGGTGGTGGTATCTGAGGCTTTCATTTACATTTCCTTAGAAACAAATGATAGGGCACCGCCTGTGGCTCAGTGGGTAGGGCGCCCTATCATTTGGGCAGGTTCAAACCCGGCCACGGCCAAAATGCAGCAACAACAAAATAGCCGGGTGTTGTGGTGGGCTCCTGTAGTCCCAGCTACTTGGGGGGCTGAGGCAAGAGAATCGCCTAAGCCCAGGAGCTGGAGGTTACTGTGAGCTCCATGGCACTCTGCCGAGAAACAAACGAGTAGAGTCTTTTCTCATTTACTTGGTTTGTGGGATTGCCTTGAATGTGTAGATTTCTTTGGGCAGACTTATTAATGACTTTTGAGAGTTCAATGCATCTCCTGAGTATCAACCCTTAGTATGTGTGTTTGGCCTTTATTAGATATATATTTTACAAATATTTTCTCTCAAGCTGTGGCTTGCCTTTTCATTTTCTTATCAGTATCATTTCAAGACCAGAAGTTTTTTTGTTTTTTTTTTAGAGACAGTCTCACTTTGTCACCCTCTGTAGAGTGTCGTGACGTCACAGCTCACAGCAACCTCCAACTCCTGGGCTTAGGTGATTCTCTTGCCTCAGCCTCCCGAGTAACCGGAACAACAGGCGCCCACCACAATGCCCAGCTATTTTTTGTTGCAGTTTGGCCAGGGCTGAATTTGAACCCACCACCCTAGGTATATAGGGCCGGCACCCTACTCACTGAGCCACAGGCGCTGCCCAAAACCAAAAGTTTTAAAAACTGCTGAGTCCAATTACTTATTGGCACTTTGTTCTTAGGATTCAAAGTTTTTTTGTGCTAGGAAATCTTTGCATAATCCTTTGCTTAGTTTTTACTATACCCTAACCTAAATTATCTCCAAATTCTCCACCTTTCAGTGGCCAAACATATCAGGTGATGGAGGATGGAGTGGGAGGAACCCAGACAAAATATGACCTCGTGGTTAAATCCTTCCACTCCCTGTTTTTGTAAATAAAGTTTACCAAGTGCCACAACAGCAGAGATCAGTCCAGAGTCCAGAGATTGGCCCTCAAAGCCTAATATATTTATTAACTGCTTCTTCACAGGACTAGTTTTTGACCCCTGAGGCCATTTACTAGGTCCCTACCCCAGGCTGTCCTTGGAGAGAACTGGAACTCATTGTTCTTCTGTGCCTATAGGAGCAGGTTGTTTTAAAAATCTTACCTACTACCCTGAAAAATCCTGTTTTAACATCCTGTGTTAAAAGTCCCCTTTTCTGGGATTCCAGGTCTTTCTTGGTTTGTTCCATTCCCTCCTTCTGATAGGAAATCCTCTAAGAAAAAAGGCTACATGGGAATTAACTAATTTCTATCAGCTGATAAAGGATAAATAAAATTCAAAAATAGATACCACTCTTGATAGAGATCTAGGTGGTTACTCATTTTCCCTGACAACTGTGGAGACACTGCTTTTAAATGAGTCATTATGAAAAATTTTGAAATACACAAAAATCAGGAAACAAATTCCTGGTTTAATCCTAACAATATGGGAGGTCCAAGGTGGGTAGACTGCTTGAGCTCAGGAGTTGGAGACTAGTATAAGCAAGAGCAAGACCCTGTCTCTGTTAAAAAAATTGAAGAAACTAACCAGGCATGGGGTGACACATGCCCAGCTTCTTGGGCGGTTGAGGCAAGAGGATCGCTTGAGCCCAACAGTTTGAGATTGCTGTGAGCTACGGTTAAGCCATGGCACTGTACCCAAGATGCTAGAGTGAGACTCTATCTAAAAAAATAAATAACTAGAACAGACTCAAATAAGCTCAATTTCACTAATTGATGAATGTGTTTTAGTCTCTTTAGTTGGACTGATGCATTCATCTGTCTCTTGTGTGTGTAGTTTATTTACTGAAGAAACTAATTATCCAGTAAGTTTTCCTATAGTCTTCATTTTGCTGATTGCAGTTTAAGAGGCTTAATAAGGGCAGCACCTGTGGCTCAAAGGAGTAGCGTGCCGGCCCCATATGCTGGAGGTGGCTGGTTCAAACCCAGCCCCAGCCAAAAACTGCAAAAAAAAAAAAAAAAGAGGCTTAATGATTGTATATATAATATATACTGCATACAAGGCATGCAAAAGGCTTATATAAATAGAAGTGGAAGATAATGATAAAAATTGTTGCAATTTCCTTTTGAGTAAATATGTGTAGGAATTTTGTTAACAAAACCTTTAAAGGAAAACCTTAAAGTAAATGTGAAATACATTTACTAATCCATTTTTAAAAACCATCAATTTAATTACTTATATTAAACTAGGCACTTTAATTTTAGAATCATATGTCATTATACTGTATTTTGCTACATCTAAACAATGAAATGCTATAAGATCGAGCTTTGTGTACTAACAGTAATATGGAATGCTTTACCAAATATATACTAAGAGAAAAAAGCAAAGTATATAACAATGTAAATAGTATACCATTTATGTAAAAAAGATCATAGATAGTATTTGTATCAAAAGGGGAATACAAACCATATATATAAAATACCTGCAGGAAGATGTTGTGTTTTGTTTTGAGACCGAGTCTCACTATGTTGCCCTCGGTAGAGTGCCATGGCGTCATAGCTCACAGCAACCTCAAACTCTTGGGCTTAAGCAATTCTCTTGCCTCAGCTTCCCGAGTAGCTGGGACTATAGGTACCCGCCACAACACCCAACTATTTTTTGGTTGCAGTTGTCATTGTTGTTTAGCAGGCCTGGGCCAGGCCCAAACCCGGGTGTGCAGCCAGCACCCTACCCACTGAGCTGAGGCCCCCAGGAACATGTTAACACTTACTAACTCTGTTTATGGAAGCTGGTGACTAGATCATGCAGGAAGAGAGAATTTAGAAGTTTATGCTGTACAAAGATGTGAATGTACCTATTCCTCCTATCTCCATTAAATATTACTCTAAAACATTTGATAAGATTTTTATAATTCATTTTTTGAATATATAGCAGTTTGAGATCACTTCACATTCCATTCAATTTACCCATGTGACATGTACAGTTCAAAAGTTTTTGTATATTTACAGACTTGAGGAACTATCATGACAATCAGTTTTACAACATTTTCATCCATGAGCAGTCACCGATCTCCCACTCTCAAGTTCTCCAGGCACCACCCACTAATCTACTTTCTGTCTCTATAGACTTGACTATTCTACATATTCCATATAAACAGAAATCATCCAGTATGTGAACTTTTGTGACCAACTTCACTTAGTATGTTTTTGAGGTTTATCCATGTTATACTATATGCCAGTACTTCATTTCCTGTATTGCTAAAGAATAATTACATTGTTATACTGCATTTTATTTATCCATTTAACAGGTGATAATTAGTTCTACTATTTTGACTCTTATAAATAATGCTGCTATGAACATTTATATACCAGTTTTTATGTGGACATGTTTCTTTCTTTCTTTTTTTTTTTTTTGCAGCTGTGGCTGGGCCAGGCTTGAACCCGCCACCCCTGGTATATGGGGCCAGCACCCTACTCCTTGAGCCACAGGTGCCACTCATGTGGACATGTTTTCATTTCACTTGGGTACATACCTAGGAATGGAATTGCTGGGTCACAGGGCAACTTCATATTTACATAGTTCAATATTTTAATTATTTAATCTATTATTGTCAGTCATATTTAGAAATGGGGTTCTAAGTAAGAAATCTAATCTGTAAGTATTCTCAAATATAATGAAACTTTCATACATTGAATGTTTTCTATAATCAGACGAATATTAATTTTCATTTTCCATTTTCTAAAAAAATTCGGAGCCTATGTTTTATTTTTAGGACTCATAACTCTCAGGGCCCTAGGAACTATCCCTGCAGACCTAGTGCTAAAAACCCCATCATTCCAAGAGTGCAACTCAGAAGAAAGCTAAAAAATTCATGGTAGTAACGACATCTCAACTTTGCAGAAAATTTATAGGACACAGTCTGAGTAGTGATCCAAACCCTAGTAAGGTACAAGAATTAAGAACAAGACACATATATATTTTATGAGTTATATGACAGTTTGAGAGATAGAAAACAGTGAAGTCACTGAGGTCCTGTTTCTTTGCCCCATCTCTTTCATGTCCTTATGTAAACCCTCCTAAATAAGTTATCATTTAAACAATTTAAAGAAAGTAAACATACTTAAATGTTTTAGTTATAGAAGCTTCCTAAGGGCCAAGCAGAGAATGTAATAGTCCATTTTAACATACTTTGCTATTGGTTTGTTAGGCTTTGGTACCTTTGCATCTCTCACTTAGACGTCTAGATTTTCCATTCAATCCAAACATGGATTATCATTGCATATATACCCACTCTACCATAAATCTATTAGTCTCAGCACAGAAGTCTTTGGTAGTATGATTCCATAAAAAACATAAAAGCTAGTAATAATTTAAAGTCTGATTGTACCTATATGTTGACAATTTTCTATTCTTACATTTTTTAAAAGAACACATTTTATATGTGTTCAATCTGGAGCATAAGTAATAGATCTGAATTAAGACCCCAGCAATGTACATAGAAATCTCATTTACCAACCAAAAGAAGCATAATTTCATTAGCAGACACAAATGGTATTAATACCATCAAGAGAAAAAATAATCCTTCAATTTTAACTTGTAAATTAAAATACTCCCCAGGAGTGACAGGCATAATTTTTATTCACATCTAGCAGAGTAACCAACGATAAAATCATTAATCATGTTCAAAATAATAACTGATTGATATTTCCCAAAGGAGCTAATTTCAATCCTGATAGTTCTTTATTTTTTGAAAATATATTTGCTACAAGTTGCTAATTTGCAACAGGTGTCATAATGAGAAGAGTCAAAATTAGATAAATGTGAAAAAGAATGACAAAGTGTCGTACACCATCGAATTACACCAAGTTAAGAACTTGGGAGGAAAGCATTGCAAAAAAGACTACTATGTTACTTATATTCTTGCAATAAAACCGGCAATCCATCCATGTCAAGAGAGTTATCATCTCACTTCCAATTTCTTCCCCTCAAGAACAATCTGAATCTCTTTGGCATCCAAAGTCTCATAGGTCAATAAAGCTTCTGCCAGATTCTTATGTTCCTTTGCATGAGTTTTCAGGATATGTTTTGCTCGTTCATATGAGTCCTAAAATAGAAAATCAAATATGTAAGAAGCAGAAATGTTGGGAAGCAAAAACCATAGTAAATGGGGAAAGAAATGAAATTCTTATTTACTCTAAAAAAGGTGAAATTAGTTGATTTAAATCTATAAAACTTGGTTCCATAACATAATTACTAAGGAAAGGAAATATATATTCTGAAACACTTTCTAAACCTTTCCATTGTACAGATTTTCATATCCTTAACTACTCCTTTTACCTCCTTGAATGAATGAAAACCCGGCTCTCTCCTGCTGAGACTGCTTTCCCTAAGCCCTCTCAAATGCTATTTATTCATGCTTATTCCAGATCCTTCAGGGTGAAGAGGTGAGCTCTTTGTTCTGAACTCATGCAGGCGGGCATACTGGTGTGCACCTGTATTTCCAGTTACTGAGGGGGCTAAGGCAGGAGGAACTCTTAAAACTTTAGAGTTCGGCTCGGCGCCTGTGGCTCAAGTGGCTAAGGCGCCAGCCACATACACCTAAGGTGGTGGGCTCGAATCCAGCCCGGGCCCGCCAACCAACAATGATGGCTGCAACCAATAAATGGCCAGGCGTTGTGGCAGGTGCCTGTGGTCCCAGCTACTTGGGAGGCTGAGGCAGGAGACTCGCTTGAGCCCAGAAGTTGGAGGTTGCTGTGAGCTGTGATGCCA